AGGCTTCACTTAAGTCTGAATTTCCCAGGTCTTGGGGGATTTCTGTTAGAGGTGGAAATTTGTCACCGGTGTGGTGACCCAGAGAACCAGCATTTGGTGTCCACCCACCTTCCCTGTTACTCTCGCGTTTGCACCGTGGTTATGATCTGTCCTGTTGGACATGTGTGGATTGTTCTGTGTCTGGCGGGTCAGCTGCATGCACAGCCTGATGCCCAGTTGGGGACTGCTCGAATTGAGGAGCCCTGGGTGTGTGTGCACGGGTTCTGCGGGTGCCAGAAGAAAGCCTTTGGGAGCCCCAGTCCCCTGGTACCTCTATGTGGCACCATACTGTGTCCCCTGCTGTTCTTTTCACTTTTCATTTACAAAGGAGTGAGGCCCAAGTCTATGTATGGTATTGACACTGAGTTCTTTTAAAATATATTTCTTTAGGGCTGGGGTTGTGGCTCAGGGGTAGAGCACTTGCCTAGCATGTATGAGGCCCTGGGTTCGATCCTCAGAACCACATGAAAATAAATAAATAAAATAAAAGTACTGTGTCCAACTACAACTAAAAAATAAATATTTTATACATACATATATATATATTTTTTTTTTTTCTTTAAATAAAGCCAATAGTTGTGGTGGCTCATGTTGTAATCCCAGAGACTCAAGAAGCTGAGGCAGAAGGATTGCAAGTTCAAGGCCAGCCTCAGCAACTCAGCAAGTCCCTAAGCCATTAAGTAAGACCCTGTCTAAAAAAAAAATAAATAAGTAAAGAGGGCTGGGGATGTGGCTCAGTGGATAAGCACCCTGGTTCAATCCACAGTGTAAATAAAACAAAACAACAACAACAAAAGAACAACCATAAAGCAAATAGTTTGCTTCTTCCGTAACATCCCATTGGAGGACTAGGCCAGTGTGGTCTGGGCTGCCTTGGTGGACCTGTGAGACTCAGTCAGCTGTTTTTCATGTGTGCAAGTCCCCCTTGTAGGAATATCGCCACGGTTGCACATGTTTCTCTGACTGGTGTTGGCTGTGTCCGGGCTGCAATGGACTTGGGCTCTTGTTCCTAGCCTGGCGTGAGTCCAGGTCACCACCCCACAGTAGTGAGCAGACCCCACCACCGTTCCTCCTCAGCGTCCTTACCATCCCCTGCTCCCCTGCCCGCCCCCAAGGTGCCTCCTTACTGCAGGGAGGCCCCCAGCTCCTCTGCCGGGCTCCTGTTCTCCAGATCTCAGCTGCGTGATTGCTGGTGGTGAGACCTTGCCATCGTCCCCCACACTGACTCCCCCTGCCCTCTCAGCATCTGAGCCCATGATGACTGTCCTCCCCAGGGAGGCTGACCCCAAGCGGGTAGGGACATATCTACCATGTTCCCCGTTGTGCTCCCACCCTCAGGACAGGGCTCAGTAGAGAGTCGTTGTTCAACAGACACTCAGCTGACCAGTGAGGCGGGCCGAGAAGAACACACCGAAGGGCTCTGGTGCATAATTGGCCAAAGTCCATCCATGCACTGAGGGGGTCGGTCCATGCTCGCAGCGGGTGTCCTCCTGGACTCCCTACTACCCTGGCTCACAGATCTGAGCAGCTATCTTGGGCCTCAGAGCCTGAGCATTTGGGGCTCATGGCCAGGCCAGTGGTGAGATGGAAATGGAAAGCAGGAGCCTGTCCTTCCACTGTACATCCCACCAAAACCTTGCTGCTTCTTTCTTATGGTTTTTAATTTTGTAGATTTTTTTTTTGTACTGGGGATTGAACCCCGGGGTGCTTAACCACTGAGCCACATCCCCAGTCCTCTTATTTTTTCTTTTGAGACAAAGTCTCACTAAGTTGCTGAACCTGGCTTTGAACTTGTAATCCTCCTGCCTCAGCCTCCCGAGCTGCTGGGATTACAGGCCTGTGCCACTGCACCTGGAAAATTTTGTAGAAAATTTTAAAAGTCAAAATAGTTGAAGGGAAATTGAGTATCAGTAATCCACACCTCACATTTGAATGGGAGTGACAACTTGCCGGGTGTTCGGGGTAGGTGGTCTTCTGTGGGTTTGTGACCTGGTTTCATAGTGAGAGATTTGGAGAAATGTGACCCAGAGTTTTGGCAAGTGTGCTTTTCCAGACGCAAACTCCATGTTCATGTCCCCCGACATGTCTACCTGCTTCCACGGCAGCTGGGGATGCAGAACTTGGATGGGAGGAAACACTTCTTCCAGAATCTTTCCATGGTGGGAGATGCTGGCCTGTCCTTAGCTAAAGCTGCCTGAAGAGATGGGAATAGGTGGCAAATTTCCTGCCCTGGGAGGGCCTGGCTCCCCCGGCTTTGTGACAGGTGGTCCCAGGACAGGGACTATTACTGCCTGCTATTATGGTCCATGCTCAGGATGCTGGATCAGTTAGGGCAAGAGACCAGCCACTGTAATGGGCCCTGCAGCAATTGGCTGGAAGCCCAAGGAGTGACTCTCTTCCTACAGGGTCTGGGTCAGTTGGGGGGGGGGGTGCCAGGAATGCCTGCTCTTCTTCATGAGGCCCCTCAGGCCACGCCACCCATGATACCGCCTGGGAGGATGGGACAGAGTTAGGCAGCCAGCCAGCCCTGCTCCTTATTCTGGTCATTGCATCCTGACCTCATGAAGGCTTTATGTGGACATCTTGTTCAGGAGGTTCTGTGACCATCCTAGGCTCACAGGAGGAAACTGAGGCTGCAGAGGTAAGATGGATCACCAAGATGTGTGGCAGAGTCCCGGGACTCAAGCACAGGTCTTCTGGTTCCAAGGTCCCACTCAGCTCACTCCTGGGACTCCGAGCCCTGGTGGAGACAGACAGGTAGCCCAGGGTGGGGATCCCCAGGCCCACGGACACCCTCCCATTCCTTGTCTACTCTAGCAGGACACACAGGGCTGCTACAGTCACAGGGCTGAGAATGGGCCAAGGCTGGAGAGCTGTCTGCTGCTGGGATGTGTGGAGGGCGTGGGTGGGCAGGGGGTCACTGCAGGGAGGTGAGGGGCCAGCAGAGTGGTGACTTGTAACTCTCTTTAATCCTGTGGTTTTGTGTGGAGAGACCCTTCAGTGTCCTGGGAATTGGGGGCAGCTCAGAGTCTGCAATGACCTGGCCTTTCACTGCCCCAGGACCCATACAGTGTCCCCCGCTAGGCCCTACCTGGGCAGCCAAGCTCAAGCCACAGCCATATTTGGGTGAACTTGGCCGCAAAGGTGAGTGTGGGGGGGGGGGCGGGTGGCGGTGGTTTGGACTCCCCTGCAGCCTCACATCCTCTGTGCAGCAGGAGAGAACCAAGCCCTGAGGCAAGTCCTTTTACCTCATCTCATGGCTGATACAGAGCATTTTGACAAGGACTCGCCAAGATACAAATTCAAAAATGAATGACCACTGGATATAGTGCTACATCCCTGTAATCCCAGTGGCTCAGGAGGCTCAGACAGGAGGATGGCAAGTTCAAAGCCAGCCTCAGCAAGTTAGTGAGGCCCTAAGCAACTTAGTAAGACCCTGTCTCAAAACAAAGTGCTCGGGGAGTGGGTTGGGAATGCTCAGTGGTTAAGCACCCCTGGGTTCAATCCCTGTAACAAAACTAAACAACAACAACAACAACAAAAACCTGGTTGGGTCAGGCCAGCACCCAGGTGAGGAGGGCAAGAGCCATCCTAGAGCGTGGGGCTGGCTCTCTTCCTGCCTGCCGGCGGGCACCAGGTCTCATGTTTACCCGTCCCTCTGTGAACACCATCAGCTGGATTCATAAACAGGCAGAGCTCAGGAGCTGAGTGGCCAGTGCCTGGAGGGAACTGGGTGGTGGATCCGGCTCACAGGGTCTGCTGATGGGTGTCTGGGGATTCTGGGCATGGCGGGCACTGGCAGGGCCCTGACCCATTTCGCCCAGACTGTGGAGAGGTGGGAGTTACTCATTAAGCCAGGCGTGGAGAAGCTGGGTCAGGTGAACCAGGGTGAGCTGAGCTATCCTGAAATCAAGTGAGGTGCCCGTGAAGGGCCCCCAGCCGCTGGATACCAGGGGCTGTGGATGGGTGGACCTGGGGACCTGGGTGACATCAACCCCAGGTCCTAAGGGCCAGGCAGCAGAAGCCTCAATCTCCCTGGCTGTAAAATGGAATTTGTAGCCTCATGCAAGTGTAGCTCTGTGGGTGGCAAAGGGGCTGGAGCTGGTCAGAGTGAAACTCAGGGAGCCCCCGAGGCTGACCGCACACACTACCCTGGTCAGTGTTGCCTCTGTTGACCCTCCCTAGAGCCCTGAAGGCTACCGGAGAGGAAACTGTCTCCGACAAGAAGGACTTGACCAAAGTCCAGGGTCAGAGCCCACACCTTGGCTCAAACAGGACTGGAGTGTCAGCTCTGAGGGATGCATGGAGTCGAGTGTGTGGCCTCCTGGACGCCCTGGATGCCCTCTCCGCATCTCTAATGTGCACTGCATTCCACGGCGCCCAGTGATATTCTGCCCACAGCCTCGGTGTTAATCATTGAGCGAGCAATGTCTGCAGACCCCGCTCCCCTGTCGAGGGTCAGGAGGGGACCACACTGCTTGGCAGGTGTGTGACCCTGAGACCACGCTGCCCCAGGAACCCCAGCACGGATGGATGGCTCCCCGTCCTTGAGTCTGAATCCAAGGTCAACTTCAAGCGCTGGTGCCTGTGACAAAGTACTGACCCCTCCGGAACATCCCCAGAATTCCTGCCTGTCACCTTGGCAGATGTAGTGCTGGGTCTTGGTGAGTCCGGGTGAAAACAGGGACTTGGCCAAGACAGGAAGGGACCTTTGGGCAGGCCCATCACCTGGTCCTGAGGCCCTAGGTGTCCAGGGAGAAGAGGGGAAGAAGAGAGTCTGATGACCAGTGGCCGAGGCCGCACAGGGAAGGGAAGGCCAGGCAGGAGACAGGAACTGGGGCAGCAACCCCCACTGCATGACCTGAGGTATGACCCTAGAAAGCGATCCCCACCATGTGATCACCAATTGGGTGACACCCCTGCCACCTGCCTGATGATTCTTACATGCCCCCTTCTTGCAGGGCACAGCCTCTGTCCTTCAGCGCCGGTCCCCCAGTGAGGAGTACGTGGAGGTGGGGCGCCTTGGGCCCTCTGACTACTTCGGTGAGTTGGGGTCCTTCCCTCATAGGCCACCACACCTCATCAGGGGTCCTGGGTTGGGAACTGCATGGGCACAGGCAAATCAGGCTGAGCCTCTGTGCTGCTGTGACAGACCTCAGACTGAGGTCCCTGGCCATGATTAACCAGTCCTGCGTAAGGACTGCCCCAGAGAGCCATGACCTTGTCAAGGGCAGGGCATGGGTAAGAGCTGCAGGGAACACCAGCTTCCAGCTTCCTGCAGCTCTGTGTTGGGGAGGTCCCAAGGGAGGCCCTACCTCACCTGGGCACTCCTGGGCACTCCCTCAGTTGGGGGCTGGATCATGGGGGAGACCCGGGACATATACCACAGTGCCTGCCGCATGTGGAACAAATTGCAGGACAATGCCTAGCTAAATTTGGATTTCAGATGAACAATGAATATTTTGCTAGTTTATATAAATATATCCCACTGGGTGCAGTGGCCACACCTGTAATCCCAGAAACTAGGGAGGCTGAGACAGGAGGATCACAAGTTTGAGGCCAGCCTTAGCCACTTGGCAAGACCCTGTCTCAAAAAGTAAAAAAGTGCTGGGGATGTGGCTTAGTGATAGAGCACCCTATCCTCAACAGCCCAAAACAAAACAAAACAAAACAAAAGCCCCCCAAATGATACGTGTATGTCTCCCAAATATTTCATGAGACATATTTATAACTAACAAATTTTTTTGTACATATTGGAAATTCAAATCCCATGGCACCTGGCAGTGGTGCTTCTCTGGCTCTGGTCCTGAAGGAGAGGGTGTCGAGGCCCTGGTGTGGGGCTCTCAGCCTGACCACTCTCTCCTTCCTCTAGGGGAGATCGCGCTGCTGCTGAACCGGCCTCGTGCGGCCACCGTGGTGGCCCGGGGGCCCCTCAAGTGTGTCAAGCTGGACCGGCCCCGCTTTGAGCGCGTGCTGGGCCCTTGCTCCGAGATTCTCAAGAGAAACATCCAGCGTTACAACAGCTTCATCTCCCTCACCGTCTGAGCCGCGCCAGGCCGCAGCGCTCCCCGTGTGCCTGCAATCCCTGCTCCCTGTGTCTGGGGCCTGGGAGTCATGGGGAGGTAGCAGGATGAGGCTGGCATCCCTGCAGGGGACCTCGCCTTCCTCTGGACTCGGTTTTTTTGGAATAAATGACCATCTTGTGCATATCAGATACAAAGGGCAAGCAAACATCCCAAGACCCAGGAGTGACAGGCCAGCTTCCCTCCCCCACACTTCCTCGTGTCCACCCCTTGTCTTAGGGGACCCACCTGACCCTCTTCACATCATCTGGGCTGTGCTTGTCTGATCCCCAGACCCAGGGGCAGACAGGCTGTGGAGACCAAGTCAGCCCTGAGTCCTGCCCCCAGAACCACAGGGTGCCACCCTGGGGCCCTGCAGACCCCGTGAGGCCAGGCTTGTCAGGCCTAGGCCCAAGTGTGAGACAGATCATATAGATGGGGTGTTCCCTGAGGACACTTATGATGGGGCAGAAGTTGAGGCCCATTCCCACAGGGGCCCAGAGGAAGCCAGGGACCCCTTCTCCTATCTTGGGGGCCAGTCCATGGGCCTCAGACAGAGCCGTAGGTAACTCTGTGCTGAGAGCATTGGGAGGAGCCAGCTTGAGCCTGGTGGCTTGTCCTTGCCTCTTGGAAAGTCCATCTCCAGGTGGGCCAACCATAGCCACCAGCCCTTGGGCAGCCGGTAGTCCGTGGCCCCTCACCAGCTGGTGCCCAGAATGGGCACACTACACAGCTGAGTCTGGGAATGTCCCAGATCTGGTGAGCACTGTGCTGGGTCCTTTGCTCTTTGGAGTTAGGGGAGCCAAACAATGTGGGGCCACTTCTCTGGGAGATGTGGAGGGAGGGTGAGCTTTCAGAGGCATCTGGGTAGAGTTAGAGGAATCAGAGGCCCTCTGAGCTATTCCCCACAGATTTGCCTGTATCCAGCCTGAGTCCCAGCCCCGTGTCCCCTGTCCATTCCCCTGATGAGAGGGGATGTGTTCAGTCAACCCAGCGCGGGTCCCACACCCCTAAACCATCCACCAGCTTGTCTCTTAAACGTATCCCTGGTGCCGTGATGATACGGAGCTGAGGGAGCTCTCAGTCCGTTGAAATGATGTGACCCACTCCATGTTGCCCTGCAGTGTCCTGGGGAGGTGCCCTCCCCGCTGGCCACCAGCGCCCCCTGCGCCCTGGCCATGCCCGTCCTGCCTGTGCTGTGGGCTCTGTGGACTTGTGTGCCCTCCTGCTCACCTTGCTGAGTGCTGCATGAACTATTAAACGTGCAATGAGGTACCTCTTCCTGACTCCGGGGGTCTCCGTCTGGACTCTTTTGTAGACGAGTGTCTTTTTCTTTCTTTCTTTTATTGTGGTAACATATACATGACCCAATGTATTTGCCAAACCATAGCCTGGTGGCGTTGATTCCATTCACAGTGTTGGGCAGCCTCATCCTCGTGGCTGCCCAGAAGACCAGGTACAGATTCGTGAGTCACAAATTCCTTGGTTCTGGCTGGGCGCGGTGGCGCATGCCTGTAATCCCAGCGGCTCGGGAGGCTGAGGCAGGAGGATCGCAGGTTCAAAGCCAGCCTTAACAATGGTGAGGTGCTAAGCAACTCAGTGAGACCCTGTCTCTAAATAAAATACAGAATAGCTCTGGGGAGGTGGCTCAGTGGTCGAGTGCCCTTGAGTTCAATCCCTAGTACCTGCCCCCGAAAAACCCCCTAAAACACAAATTCCTTGGTTCCTGTCCTCCTTGACCCTTTTCTCAGGTCTGAGCCCCTCACACGCTGCCAAAAGTTGGGAGGTGGCCCAGCTCCCCAGAAAGCAGGGACTCAGTGATGTATTCTGAGGGTTCCGATACACTTACTGCTGGCCACTTGAAGCTCAGTACCTTGTTAAGGTCGTCCAGCCTGTGTTGGCTTTGCCCTTTGTGGGTCTTTCACATGGTGCTCTGTAGCCTCACATTTCCCATCTGTAAATGGGTATAAGGATCCATCAAAGCCCTATGGTGAAATGAGCTCATTTCTGGCAAGAAGAGGCTGGGTAGGACCCACCTGCATCTTTTGTGGGGCTAATGACCTGGAATGGGGCCCCTCCAGACTGTGGAGAGCCCCAGCCTCACCTTCCCCAGCTCAGGGGAACCCAATGGAGCCTGGTGACTCACTATGACGTCGGGCCCTGGCTGCCACACTGGGGAGACAGGCAGCACCTCCGTGTGGGGCCTGGGGTGGGGAGTGAGTTTGTGTCTGGGGACCTGAGTCCTGCCTTCCCACGGCCACTGCATCCGGCCTCCAGGGCTCTGCTCTCTGATCCAGACAGGGTCTCTAGGGCCTGCTCTCTCCTAGTGCTGCCAGGAAGCCTGGGCTGACGCCCCTGACTGTGCTGACCTCTCTCATCCCCCTCTTGCCCCCTGGGATATGACCAAATTAGGAAGCTGCCCAGCCCCACCTCCAATTCACCAAAGGATTTCCCTCCTTCCAGATTAGTCTAGTCTGCTTCTAACTTGCATCCCAAGGGCAGGGATACTTAGACTCTCCATCTGGGCCCTGAGACCTGAGGCCCGTGGCATTCTTTGGGGCCACCAAAGTCCTCAGAAACTTTCCTTAACAAAGTCAGATCTTGCATATAGAGTGGGTTTCCAAAGCCACATTGAAGACTTTTATTTGGTCGGGCAGAAGGTCGCTGGATTGGTCTCCTCCTAGGACCCCCCCAACATTGGCCGCAGTAGGAGGTCTGCTCTAGGGCAGGCCTCTGAGTGTCAGACTTCCCTCCAGGACAGAGCCCAGCATCATCCCACTAGAGACTTCCCTGTGGTTTGGACAATCAGTCCCCTCACCAACCTCCTTGGCCAAACATTTGGTGGAGAAATGAGGCTGGGGTATTTCAGGAACATGCTTGGCCAGGAGCCTAATGATTGCTGACCTCCCTGCAGCTGACGTGTGATGTGTGCGCTGGAGGGCAGTTGTGCCTCGAATTCTGATCAAGTTCTTGTTAGTTGTGTGGCATCAGACAGTATCCTTATCTTTTCTGACCTTCAACTGTCTCATCTCTGAAGTGGGACTATTTGCCTCCTGGGTTAGACTTTAGCTTGAAATGAGACGGTACAGGAAGTTGCAGATGAACCCCAAAGGCTCAGAACTATTGCTACATGCAATATCCAACTACATCACACAGAAGGACAACAAGCCATGTCCTGGTGTCACCTGGACAGGTAAGCTATGGAGCTCGTGCATCCTGGTGCTGCGGCTCCAAGAGGGCCACCCTCACCTGCCTGTCACTGCCACGCCACAGGCCTGGTTGCTGCCCTCTGGCTCCACCTCCAAACCAGCTGTTGCCCTATTATCCACGGCCAGCCTCCTCCTCTGCATTCAGCCACAGGCCCCCCGATTCTGGTCCCAGTGAGGGACACCTGTTGCTGCTCAGGGACCTGTTTGCAGAGGTGGTAATCTCCCAGCAGGAGCCACCTGTCCTCAGTGTGGCTGCAATCGCCAAGTGTGTCACCTGGTAACTTCATGATCTTAAAAACACCACTGAATTATTTAATGGATTCTGCAGCTTCAAGACAGGGCGTGTCTGTTCCGCAAAGCCGGGGGACACCTGGAGTTGGGGTGCCACAACCTCACTGGTCAGGCTCCCATGTGCTAAGTTTCCCTGGAGAGGTTGGTCCCAGCCAAGCCGGTGGAGGCTGGGAGCCCTCTCAGCCCAGTCTCAGTTGCGCAATGTTGACCGGGCAGCCTCCCAGGCTGCAGATATCTTTATAGCGAGCGGAGCATGGGAGGCGGGATACTGGGGTCCTGGTCCTGAGGCCTCCTTCCCCTTGCTCAGGGGAGCACCAGGAAAGGGCTGCCCAGTTCCTGCCGCTTCCCCCAGCAGGGGCCATGAGGCCCTTCAAGGGATCTCAGAAGTCTGTGTCTGTGTCCCAGCAATGATGTCACCGGAGCCCATGTGATGCCAGTGTCAGCCAGGCGTTGAGTGTCCTAGGAAGGTACCCTGATATCACCCAGGAAGTGAGACTGCCACTGACTGCCCAGTCCACTCACCCACTCATTCACTCAATCACCCAGCCCAGGGGGAGGGGTTCCAGGGTGGCCCCCTGTCCTTTCCCCACATCTTCTCCAGATCAGCAGTGGCTTCACCTGCAGAATCCATGCCGGCTTGTGTCAAGGCCCTGTGGCACCAAATCCACCCAGCAGCCCTGTGGGGACCAATTACAAATAAGAATTCTGAGGTCAGAGTAGGGAAGTTTACCTGCCAGGCCACCCAGCAGAGAAGCCTCGGGAAGTCGGGCCTGGGCCTTCCCCGCCAGCCTGGGCCTGCCCTCGCCAGCTCTGCCAGTCCTCGTGCTGTAAATTCTGTTTATGGTCCTGGTCACCACCCCACTGAACTGGCCAGGTTCCTCCTCAGAGGGAAGCCACGCCTCTCTGGGAGTCCCCTGGGAATACCCAAGGGAGGAGGAAACCCTGTGTGGGAGGCACTGCCACGGGACTGTGCCACGTCCTGGCTGTGTGGGCTGGGCAGGGGCTCGGCTTCCCTCCACCCTGCCTGTGAAGTCCTGTCCTCTTGGCTGCTGGCTGCACCTCTTCCTCTGGGTTGTGGGGAGTGTTAGAAATGGACAAGGGACTTCCTTGGGGCACCTCCGTGGAGAGCTGGTGCAGTCCTCGGAGCTCACCAGGCCCTTCCTTGTGGGGAGGGGCGGGCAGGTCTGAGAAGCAGATGGGCAGCAGCCTCTGCCCATTACGGCAGGCAGCAAGATCATAGTGCTGAAGTGCCTGGGGCTGGGGAAGCCTGACCAGGGCCGTCCAGGGGGTAAAAAGGAGGCCAAGATTGTGCTTGAGGGTCCCAAGGTCAGGTGTGTGGGGGTCCTCTCCACCCCAGCTGGGAGCTCTTCCACCTGCGGAGGCCTCTGCCCTGAGCCAGGTGGTGGTGAGCAGGGGCTGACCTCACCTGAAGTCCTGGGACCTCTCCTGAGACTGGGAAGGGCCGGCTGCAGAGGGAGGGGGCGGTCCTCCCTCGGACTCTGGCCTGCTGAGCTGCCAAGGGCCACTCCCAGCCGTCCAACTCTCAGAGGAGGCCACAGCCAAGGAAAGAGAGACTTGGGTGCCTGGCCCAGCAGGAGGGGCTGGGGAGCCTCGGACTCACCTGTGAAGGAACCCACCCAGAGGCAGGGATAGCAGTGGGGGTGGGGGGAGCTTCCAGTGCCAGAGATGGAGCGGCAGTGCAAGCTGCCCCCTCCTCCAGGGAGGTCACCAGAAAGCAGGAGGCTGTCGACAAGAGAGTCCTGGATGGTGTTGGTGCTCGCCTATAACCCCAGCTACTCGGGAAGCTGAGGCAGGAGGATTGCAAGTTCAAGACCAGCTTAGACAACTTAGAGAGACCCTGTTCCAGTAGAACAAGGGCTGGAGGGGCAGCTCAGTGGTAGAGAGCTTTCCTCACCTGCACAGGCCCTGGGTTCTAGCCCCAGCACTGGGGGCCGGGGCTGGGGAGAGAACTTGAAGCTAGAGTGGGTCTTGGTCAGCCACTGATGGCCTTCAGACCCTGCCCCTGAGCCAGCTGGGCCTCTCCCCGGGTGTCTGCTGTAATGGCTGCCTTCCCTGGACCCGGTGGTGGTGAGAGGGAATCTGAGGGTTTGGGGGTGAGAGTTTCCAGGAAACCCTCCTCCCCCGTCCCCAAAGCCCTCCTCCTCCTACCCGTGGGATGACAGGAGGTCCCAGGGCTCAGATTCTTGGGTCTGGCCAGGCTGGGTCAGGAAATGATGGGCATAGAGGGGGGGGGGGGGGGGGGGGGGGGGGGGGGAGGAATTGAAAGGGCATTCCAGAGTGGGGAGGGGTGCCCCGTGGCCTGCAGGGCAGGGGAGGGGACGTAGCTGAGCTGCCCTGTCGGGAAGGTCCCTGGGATGAGGTGGGTGGGGCTGCATCAGAAGGGAAGAAAAGATCCTTGCCCTGGGGACATCCCTGCCACCGGCTGCTGTCCTTCAGGGCTGAGTGCTGCCTCCCCCTGGAAGCCTTCTCAGATTTCTTGGCCCTGGGTCCAGGGCTCCCTCCAGGCCACCTGGTGTAGGCCTGGGACAGGCCCTCTCTGGAAGATTCATCCTGCTCAGCGGCCACTTGCTGTGTCCCCAAGTGCCCACGGCTGGCCTGGCTGGGTCGTCCACACTGGTGGCCTGGTCTGGAGGTTCCCGGGTGCATGGTGGGTTTCAGGGCTTCCTCTGGCTGGGGTAGGAGCCCCGAGAGGGGAGGGAGGGCTGGGGTCTGCTGTGTTCAACTCCACAAGCTGGTTGGGGCCGACACCTGCTAGGCGCTGTTCT